CCTCATTTTTGATTTGATCAAGGGCTGGATGGAACAAGTGCACCACAGTGGCATTTTCAGAGTTCAACACATCAACCACGGACCCCAGATTTGCTAGTGCATCGGTTTCTGTGTTTTCTTTCCTGGTATTTGGATAACTTTCTTGATTTGGAACTACCTAAGTAATTCTCGTACCTTTTCTAGGTATTTCTGCATTCACGTCTCTCTTGCCACATAATTCCATTGCATTTTGTTTACTACCAACAACGAGTCACTTTGGATTTCGATTTGTTCAATCATGAGCTCTCTCACGAGTTCTAAACCTACAATCACAACTTCACACTCTGCCTCATTGTTAGTAATTGGATAATATTTTATTGCTTGTCTTATAATCTCTCCCAAAAGGTGAAATTAAAATAATTCCCAAACCCCCTCCTTTTACATTTGAAGAACCGTTGGTATATAAGGTACAAGTCCCCAGATTAGATCCGGTAAACACCCGTACCTCCTTTTCTGCTTCAGGAAGTAGGTTGTAACGACCCGGCCGGTCGTTTTAAGAATTCAACGCCCCGATACCCTATTAACTACATTCATTGTGTTTGTTTCTGCTATTGTGAGTTGCCGGGAGGATTTATTTGGAGTTTCGGAGAGTTTTGGGACACTTAGTCCCTAAATGAGAGTTTAAGTTGTAGAATTTGGGCCGTAGTCATAGCAGTGTGAAGACGACCTCGGAATGGAATTCCGACGGTTCTATTACCTCCGTTGGGTGATTTCGGGCTTAGGGGTGTGTTCAGATTGTATTTTGGAAGTCCGTAGCTAATTTATTCTTGAAATGCAGAATGTTGAATTTTTGAACTTTCTAGTTTGATAGTGAGATTTTGATCTAAGGGTCCGAATGGGATTCCGGAAGTTGGAGTAGCTCCATAGTATTGAATGTGTCATGTGTGAAAAATTTCAAGTCATTCGGAAGAGGGTTGATAGACTTTTTGATCAAAAAAGTAAATTGAGAGTTTTTGGAGTTCTTAGGCCTGAATCCATGGTTGATTCGATGTTTCAATGTTGTTTTAGGTGTTTTTAGGTTTGGTATACGTTTGGATAGTGATATATGACTTATTCGTGCTTTTGGTTGAGGTCCCGAGTGCCTCGGGATGATTTCGGATGGTTAACGGGAAGTTTGGAGTTGGGAATTTGCAGCTGAAGCTGCTGAGTCTGCTGTCATAACCGCACCTATAGCTTGGGGACCACAAGTGTGAGCCCGCAGAAGCGAAAGGGAAGCCGCAGATATGGCCAAGAGGAAGAAGGGCTGGAATCGCAGATGTAGGAGTTTGGCCGCACCTACGAGGTCGCAAGTGCGGGAAGGGTGTCGCAGAAGCGGAAAATTTGATTTAATGAAAAGTCGCAGGTGCGACTTGGTCTTCGCAGAAGCGGGACCGCAGGTGCGGTCCCAGAGTCGCAGATGCGGTTTCACTGGTCAGAAAGGGGCAGAATCGAGGGTTTAGTTTCAAAACATGGAAAATTGATTTGGGAGCTCGGGATTGGCGATTGTGAGAGAGATTTTTATGTGGGTGTTTTGGGTAAGTAATTCTTACTCGGTTTTGAATAATTTCCACGAATCCATGCTTAAATTCATCCTTTAAATTCAAATTTGGGGTGAAAAAATTGGAGAAAAGTTCCTAGACCTAATATTTGAGTTTGGATCACGATTTTGATGTCGGATTGGAGTAATTTCTATATATATGAAATCGTAAGAGTATGAGGATTCAGAATTTGTAAATTTTACCCGATTCCGAGACATGGGCCCAAGGGGCATTTTGGTCATTTTCTTAATTTCGTGTATTAGCTTAGAATTAATTAGTGGAATCAGTTACTTGAAGTTATATTTACATTATGCAATTGAATTGAATAGATTTGGGCCATTTGGAGTCGAGTACTCGTGGCAAGAGCGTGATTTCGGGTTGATTTTGAGCCGGTTCGAGGTAAGTAGCTAGCCTAACCTTGTGGGGGGGAGGGGGAAGGGGGGAAACTCCCCTTAGGATTTGGTATTTGATGATATTTGAAATGCATTGTATGTAAGGTGACAAGTACGTACTTGTGCTAATTGTTGAAAAACATGTTTTCATTAATTAACTATAATTGTGTTTCCTTTCCTATTTATTCTACTTGCAATCTAAGCCTGCTATTAGCTTAGGGAAGCATGTCTATTTGACTTAATTGCTTACTTGCTCAAACTGCCTTATTTGGATTATGTTTAGCATGCTAGGCTAGAAATACATGTTTTACCATGGTATAGAAATTGAGTTGAATTATGTATTCTTCGTGTTGTTGCTGTGTGTTTACTTTGGGACTACGGGACAGTATCCCGGGAGATCCCCTTGCATGTTTACTTTGGGACACGGATTGGTATACCGGTAGATCCCCTGCACGTTTACATTAGAACTACGGGGCTGCACCCGGTAGATTTCCCCTGTACTGGATATTTACATTTAGGACTACGGATAGGATTTTCGGTAGATCCTCGTACATTATGAGTTGGACTATGGGACTGCACCCGGGAGATCTACTAGATATTTATATTTGGGGACTACAGGACGGTATCCTGGGAGATCCCCGGTTGTTATCTCTATGTTGAACTGTATTCCTTTCCGTGATTATCTTGTCTCTATTATAGTTGTTGTTTTTCTTTCTACCCTATGTTACTTCTTACTGTTGCACTTAATTATACAATCTCATTCTACACTGTTATACCTTATATTTCATTTAATCTCAGTAGGGCCCTGACTTTCTTCATCACTACCCGACCACGGTTAGACTTGGCACTTACTGAGTACCGCTGTGGTGTACTTATGCCCTTTCTGCGCATGTTTTTCATGTGCAGATCCAAGTACTTCGACTCAGTCCTACCACCCTTGAGGCGAGACGAGTTTTCCCAGAGACTTCGAGGTATATCTGTCGTGTCCGGAGACCGATGAGTCCCTTTCTATTCCCTCTCTAAGTATTAGCCCTTCTGTATTTTTCTTTTGTTAGACATTCTGGTATTAGATACTTGTAGACATTCAAAAGCTTGTGATTTCATGAGATTCCGGATTTTGGGAAATGTTGTTTCAGTTTCAAAAGTTTGTATTGTATATGTCGAGTGGCATCTTAAACGCTTCGTTATGTTATTTTTGTAGTTTATGGTTAGTTTTATTTTGTTATTTCTGTTTTCGCAATTTGTTAGGCTTACCTAGTCATAGAGACTAGGTGCCATCACGATAGTTCTCGGAGGGCGAACTGGGGTTGTGACGTAGGTTTGAGTTGAAATCTGCTGGTACGTGAGACTTTATAGCAGTTCTAGGTTGATAGATAATATCATATTCACTAAGCTATATGGCCCATTTAGCTACCTCCCTGATAACGCTTGCTTGTGCAATATATTTCTTAGTGAGAAAACAGTTATAACAGAAATAAGATGACACTGAAAATAAGGTCATAACTTGTTTGATGCTATTATTAATGCTAATTCAAGTTTCTCTAAATGAGGATACCATATCTCGACATCCACTGAGGATTTGTTAGCATAATAGATTGGATATTGCTTACCCTTGTTTTCACGTACAAGCACCACACTTACTGCCACGGCTAAATAAACAAGCAATATCTCTCCGTGCCTTGGTTTTTTTAATAGGGGAAGTTTTGATAAGTATGGCTTCAAATCCTTCAAAACTTGTTGACACCCATTAGTCCATTCTAATTGATTTTGCTTTTTCAATATTGAAAAGAATTTAAAACATATTTCTGAAGATTTGGATATAAATCTTCCTAAAGCTACTACTCTACCTATTAATATTTGTACTTCTTTTTTGCTTGTAAGTACATCAGTTATTTCCTCAATTGCTTTGATCTGTATGGGATTTACCTCGATACCCTTATTAGAAACAAGAAACGAAAATTTACCTGAAGCGACACCAAAGGCGCACTTTTCTAGGTTTAACTTCATGTTATCTTTGAGGAGAATTTTGAAGGTTTCAGTCAAGTGCTGGAAATGGTCCCATGGTCGTGCTGATTTAACCAACATATCATCAATGTAAATCTCCATGATTTTTCCCAAGTGCTCTTGAAACATTTTGATCACCAATCTTCGGTATATTGCTCCAGCATTTTTTAAACTAAACGACATAACTTTTTAGCCGTAATTCCCCCTATCTGTAATAAACGAATTATTTTCCTCATCTAGAGAATCCATCTTTATTTAATTATAACCAGAATATGCATCTAAAAATTTAAAAGTTCATGACCTGCTGTAGAATCAATTTATTGATCTATATGCGGTAAAGAAAATGAATCTTTAGGGAAATCTTTATTTAAATTAGTATAATCCATATAAACTCTCCATTACATTTTTTATGGGACTACTACAATATTAACTAACCAGTCAGGGCACTTTACCTCTCAAATTGAACTTATTTTTAGAAGTTTTTGTACCTCATCTTGGATTACTTGATTTTTAAATGCTCCTTGCTTCCTTTTCTTTTATTTGACTGGTGAGTGCAATGGGTCCTCATTCAGCTTATGAGTTATTACCTATGGTGGTATACCTGTCATATCCAAATGCGGCCAAGCAAAGGAATATCACGTAAAAATTCAATTAACTTACCTTTTATTTGCAAGCTCAAGTTTGTTCCGATGTAAACGTTTCTGTCAGGCTAGTGGACGAATAATATAATAGCTTCAAGCTCCTCCGTGGTTGTTTTGATATTCTCATTTTCCTCTGGCTCTTGGATCATATCAGGCCTTGAATCTAAATGAGCTTCATTTCTTGGACTTCTAGTTGAGGTGGGGATTGAATTATCCTCATCTGAGTTCTGTAATTGCTATTTCATATCTCCATCCTCGAATGTTGCACTCGCAATTGCAACTTAGTTGTTATCTTGTGATGCTTGTTGATCTCCCCTAATTTGATGGATTCCTCACTGTGTTGGGAATTTAATCACCTGATACAACATTGACGGGACCACACCCATATCATGAATCCACGACCTTCCTTAAATTAAGTTATAGGCTATGTCTGCATCCACCATCTGGAATTTAGTGTCTTTGATGACACCTTCTGCGAATGTTGCCAATATGATTTGTCCTTTTGTGGCGACATTTGAATTATTGAAACCAGATAACGACTGTGCTTTCAGTATGATTCGATCATTCGCTTGCATCTCGTCCACTACTCTAAGTAGGATTATATTCACTAAACTACCTTGGTCAATCAAATTATGTTTAACATTAGTATCATGAAAAAGTAAAGATTTTACCAGTGCATCATTACGAGGAATGATCAAAGCATCCACGTCTTCATCATCAAACACTACTCCTTTCAAAACCCGACTAACCTGTTTCCCGTGGATAACGGTAACTTTGGATGTCTTTCTTGGCTCCATATACGTTACCCTGTTACCTTCTTCACCCCCAGTTATAACATTTATCGTTCTCTTTGGTGGGGTTTTGGTGGTTCTTGCATGTTTTTCATGTAAAATTGTTTTCCTTTTTCACTAAGGAAATCAGTGCGATAGTCTTGCTTCAATAAATAATCAACTTCTCCTTGTAAGAGCATGCAATCTGCTGTTTTGTGTCCACGATCGTTATGAAACTCGCACCAAAATTCCTGGCTCTTTTTGCTGAGATTTGACCTCATCTCTTTCGGCCATCGCGCCTTATCACCCATTTCTCTTAGGACATCTACCAACTCTAATGTACTGACGTTAAAACTATAATATCCTATTCTTGGTTGAGAGTTTGAATCAATGCTTCTGGCTATGTCCCACCCTCTTTTTAATCGGGAAGAGGAACATGTCTCCTTTTGTCTCGATCTTGAATCAAACTGTGCATGTTCTTGTTTCGATCGGGAATCGCGTCCTGCAGGTCTCACATAAGGCTCGTACCTGTTCTTACTAGACCTTTTTTATATTTCTGAATGTCTAGATCCGAGCATTTCTTCTACCGTTGGTTGGGGAACTGTGTCTTCTTCTATTTGAAACTTCGTATTATATCTGTTGTACACGTCATTCCAAGTATTTGCAGGAAACTCCCGCAGACTTTCTTTCAATCTTCTCGTGGCTTTTGAACCTTTCTCATTCAAATTACTTGCAAATGCCATAACTTCCCAGTTATCAAGTACTCGTGGTAACATCATCCTTTCCCGCTGGAATCTATCCATGAATTCCTTGAGCAATTCTGTGCTTTCCCGTTTTACTTTGAAAATATCTTCCATCCTCTTTTTTACTTTTTGAGCTCCCGAATATGCTTTTAACCGTGCTTCATCATACTTCTTTATTAACCCGATATAGATGCCACCTGTCATCATACCATTAATCCACGGGTCATGCCTATTTTCTACCAATACACTTGCCATTAGCAAATCTTATATTTGCTCTTGTCATTAACAGAGCTTCAATGTAAGATGGGTGGACCTCACCTATTCAAATTCTCCGAGAAATAGGTTCACTTCATCATCGATTTTTATTATGGTTTAGTACTATTATTACGTTGGAGTTATATTTGGGGTGAGTGGCGAATATGAAATCTTTTTTAAAAAGCAGGGTACCAAGACCAAAATTTTGATGAAGAATAAAGTTGACTAATTTCGAATGGTAAATGAAAATTCGTGATCCTTTTCCCTAAATGGATATTGGTAGAGCATAGTAACAAAATATTCAAAATCTTCTGTGCTATTAGCAATAAGCATCAAGTAGTACATGTGTCAAAAGCGCAAGGTGTACACGAGGTGGTATTAGTGCATCGAATTTATTGCCTAAGTTTGTAAAGTGTATCCGATAAAAAAAAAAGAGTTTTGCTTAATATTTTGACAACTATAGGCTGTGATGAAATGAATAAAATCCTTTCTCTTAATAATAAGTTTCAAGTTCGAATATGGAATGAAAAAATTCCAGGTAGAAAACGTTTACTCATTAATTACGCCTTATGCAACGCGTACTTGAATTAATCAGGGTCCCAAAATGGATATCAAATATTAAGTGAGAAACCAAAATAATAAAAAATAGATGTTCTGCCGAAATTTGCATGGCATGACCCACAAAGAGGATGGTCGTGGCGGAAAATTCCCATTTTTACGGTCTTAGCAAAATGTTCCCTTTTTTACTTGAACACCATAGTTTTTTAATTTTTAAAGCGTGAAATTCTTATTTGGTGGTGAAAAATAAAAGTTAATAATCGAGGCTGTGATGACGCCTAACATCCACTTGCTAGGCAAACCAACGTTAGCTAAATAATTAACCAATTGTAACAATTTAATAATCGAATATTAAGAATCAAGGACTAAAACCTCTGAAATACATGAAATAAATACATGAGTAACAAAGTCTATACCAATCCCAAAAATTTGGAGCCACAACCATATAAGCGTCTACAATACTACAAACAAGGTCAGAAATAAAATACAACTGCCTAAAACTAGATAAATAGTAATACAAGATAGGATGGGACTTCAGGGACTACAAACGTCGTGAAGCTCTACCTCAAGTCTCTTGAAGAAGTCGAATTCGAGCAATCTTCCCTATGCGCCGCTAGGACCGACACCTGTATCTACACAAGAAGTGCAGAAGTATAGTATGAATATAATTGAGTCCATGTGCTCTATAAGTGTCGAGCCTAACCTCGACGAAGTAGCGACGAGAATATGACAAGACACACACTAAAATCCTGTACAACTAATTCATAGAAAACAACATAAACGTAGAGAAATGTATAAACTCATAATAATGGGACCCGAAGTTAAACTAACAAAAGACCCCAGAATAACAACATTTAATAACCTCACGTCACAATTCAGAATTAGACAACCACAGCTACAACAAATACCACATATCATACTCAGTTGCGGCATACAATCCGATCTCAATATCATCACAATATTTGTTCCGACGTGCAACCCGATTACAATATCATATAAATATCTGTTGCAGTGTGCAACCTGTTCCCTTTATAAGTTCATTTCAATATTATTGCGGTACCCAACCCACTTTCAATATCAACTCATTGACATAAATAACTCAATACAACCAAATTCCATAATCTGAGCAAAAAAGAAAATAAAGCATAAAGAACATCAAGGAACTACCAGTACAAACAGAGAATGACCACTACCGTATATTCATAAACCTGGACAACCCATTAATACAAGAATAGCTAAAGTACTCACACAGTTGGATATAACACAATAAACCGTAACAAGTAATGTAAAGACAATAAAATAAAGTAAAGACATGGGACAATGAAGATATGCAATTAATACATGTAAGCAGATATAGAGCGAGAAATGAATAACTTGAAATATTTAACAACTAAATGACAGATAACAAGGAAGGCGTGGATAATAAGTAAGGACATGTCGCAATCAAAGCAAGTAACAAAATATAACATGGAATAAATGACATAAAGGTAAATGCCCCAACCCGCATGCTTTGACCCGTGACAACGCATATACACTAGTCATCTCGCATATATGCTGTCCCCATACATAGTTCACGTAGCAAATAGACCAAATGAGTCATAATTCCCTCAAGTCAAAGTTAAACACGACACTTACCTCTTTTCGCAACCAAATCAATAATCAATATTGGTCTTGCCTTTCGAATAAATCTCCAAACCAAGTGAATCTAGCCAATTATCCATTAAACAATCCAAAATAATCTTTAGAAATTACTCACAAATAAAAAAGGTTCAATCTTTGATAAAATTGAAAAAATCAACAAAAGTCAACCTCGGGCTCGCTTGGTCTAAATCCGAGACTCGGACCAAATCTCGGTTACCCAATTCATACCCGAGCCCGTATATGTGATTTGTTTCTGAATTTGACCTCAATTTGAGGTTTAAATCTTAATTTTATAAAATCCCTAAATTGTACCCAAAACCCCTAATTTATACCATGAAGTTCTAAGATTTGATGTTTAAAACTCATGAAAAGTAATTGATATTGATTTAAAACTAATTAAAGAAGCTTTCCAATAAATTTGGGAAGAAAACATTCTTCAAAAATCACCTCTTGATAGCTTAGGGTTGAAAAATAGTGTAAAATGAGCTAAGTCTCAATTTGTTCCTCTTTTACCCAGTTGCGGACGTCACAATTGCGAACTCTTGCTCACAATTGTGATGTCCACAAATCAGAAACACTGGCCGCAAAAGTGACTAGTGCAAAAGTCGCAAATGCGACTAACATTTTGCAAATGCAACTCTAGAGCCACAAAAGCAATCCCAGAATAGATTGCAAAAGCGAACAATTGTTCGAAAATGCGAACCCCAGCCCCAGTTCCTATTTTGCAAATGCGAGCAGTCACTCGAAAAAGCGAGGCTTGCATTTGCAACCAGTACCTTGCAAATGCGAGATCTAGAGGTTGACACCAATATCAGTTATGCATCAGTTGTGCCAAACTCATCCGCAATGCATCCGAAACTCACTCGTGGCCCCCTGGCTCCAAACCGAACATCCACAAAAGTGTAATAACATCCTACAAACTTGCTCGGTACCTCAAATCATCAAAATAATATCTACTAATAAGAATCGATCATTAAAACTCGAGAATTGTAGCTTAAAACTCAATTTTCACAATCTTTCACATAATGCACCAAAATGTGCTCGGGTCACCCCGGACCCCAACCAAACATGCATGCAAGTCCAAAAATACCATACGAACCTACCTGAATCATCAAAATATCGATCCGAAGTTGTTTACTAGAAATGTTGGCCATGGTTAACCCAAACCTCATTTTAAGTCAAAAATCATATTCTTTTCAAAATTTCACGTAAACACTTTTCAAAAAGCGACACGAACCATGCACACGCATCAATAAACATGAAATGAAGCTATGAGAGGTCTTGGAACACAAAAATTAAGGCTAGTACGCAAAACAACCTATCAGATCATCACATTCTCCACCTCTAAAAGAAACATTCATCCTCGGATAGACATAAACGTGTACTGGACTAGTAAAAAGGTAGGGGTATCTAGTATGCATATTGGACTCAGACTCCTACGTAGCCTCCTCAATAGGCTATCCTCTCCACTGCACCTTCATAGAAGGAAAACTCTTAGGTCTCAACTTCCTAACTTGCCAGTCTAGAATAGCCACCGACTCTTCTTCATAGGTCAAATTCTCACCAAGCTGCATTATGCTGAAGTCTGAAACATGTGACCTATCCTCATGGTACTTCCGACGTATGGAAACATGAAATACCATATGTACCCCTGCTACGCTAGGAGGCAATGCAAGCATATGAGAAACCTCCCCAAGTCTCTCCAAGATCTCAAGCGTGCCAATAAACCTCAGGCTCAACTTGACCTTCTTCTCAAACCGCATCACACCCTTAATAGGCGACACTTGGAGAAGAAACTTCTCACCCCCCATGTAAGCCACATATCGAACC